AAGAGCTGTTGTTCTTCAGCTTGAGGGTACAGCCAGCTGCTATATGGAAAGGAAACTACTTAATAAAAAGCTGAGTTGTTTTACAGGCTTCACTGGAATTTAAGGTCAGGCTATCTGAATCTATCCATTACTTACCATGAGCTGTGTTGTTTCGTTCAGTTCATCCTATTTAATCAACAAAAGCCCTTGGCCACGTTGTGAACATGCATGGTGAGGTAAACCAGAGCTCTTCCACAGACACGACTCACGCTGAGGCAACGAGTCACATCTGTGCACGCAAAGACCTCTGATGACCCACGCTGTAATATGAATAGCAAATACCCCTCTTCGGTGGAAGCTGCTCGGGCAAAGGGGCCCCACTATCTGTTCTATAAGTAGATGGTAATGAAAATTAATCGGGACAAACATTAACTTAAGAGTCCTGTTTACTTGTCAGAGCTCTGCTCCACATACAGAAAACCAAGTCTTCACATACTACTTACAGCTTCAGCTAGTTCTCAATAATTCCAATAATTTTTTCTGATGACTCCTTACTAGGTTGTTTAAATACACTTGCAAATCAAAGAATTATGTCTCATCCCTTCAAAAAACACATTTTATTAAAAAAAGTCTTGGAACTAGTTTTCACTCCCAGCTTAACTCTGAACATTTCACAAAATCCCTCTTCAAACTAATTCACTAGTACTACAATATAGACAATATTATCAGAGGCCCTGATGCTTCCACACATCAATTAAATCTATAACATTGGAGGGGGAGGAGAGAGAGAAATTAATGGAAGATATGGTCATGTGGCTGTTAGGAAAAAATCTACACCGTTTCCCAGCTGAGACTGCCTGGGGAAATAATTTCTAGTTTTGGGAAATACAGAAATTACTTTTTAATAAAGTAATAAATAAATAACTTTTTTTGGGAGAGTTAATCAGAAATGGATTTAGAAATAATATTTGATAGACTTTGCTTTGTTGAAGAGAAATATATCAAAGTCAGTATTCCTCTTCGGCAGAAAGCTTTGGTGTAGAATTAAGATTCAAGACAAAGACTTGGCTGGTAGTGGCTGTCAAGGGTTGGTCCTCTTCCGCCCAGATGGGATTGGAGGTAGGACAGGTTTGGAGTGGGAGCCTGGCCAGTTGATGAGCTGAGGCACATGAGAAGAACCAGTCTTGGACTTGCTGTATTTTCTCTGAAGATTGTCACTAGGGGGTTCAGTCTCTGCAGAAATTATAAATAAGTGAAGAAGCACTAAGAGGGTGTTTGTTTCAATGAAAAGTCAAAATTTACCACAAAGCACATCTCCAGGTGAAAACCCAGTGTTTTGGTGGGTGGGGTGCGGGAAGAGTAATATCTTCAGGTAGTCTAGTGACTGCTCTATCTCAAGCCTGTGGAAGAGTAACTTTATGCCTAAGCAGCCACTATTTTTAATTTCTCCAAAAGTTCATTGAAAGAAAGCTGCTGTATTGAGTATGTTGCATTCACACTGTGATGATTTTGCCACATCGTAACATTGCTGCTTATAAGAGTATCATGAAACATGAAGAAGCTGCCCTGTCACCCAAATAAAGCTACTATCATTACAGTAAGAAAGATACACAGCCCGAGCAAAACTGTCATTTTGGAATACAGTTCAAACCTTTCAATCTGTCCACTCCATTTTTAGCTCCTCTTGGATCTTGATGCTCAGCTTTGGCTTCTTCAGCATGGGGAACAGGGGTCGGAACCAGCAGACCTTCACCAGCAGGTGCACCAGCTGAGATTGGAAATACTCCCACAGCAGGACCAGATTCTCTGCAGCTGAGAGGAGGAAATGATTCATGCTTTAAAATAGCAATAAAAAAAGCATATACACCAGGCCTGACAGTATTACTGATGTTGCAGTCACACAACTCAATCAAAAGTCAGAAATAAACCCCAGTACTTATCAGTTACACAAAGCTTTTTCACACATTACGATTCTCTCAAAACTTCCAGTGCTAGCAAACACAACTACTACCTCTCTCAATTTTCATTTATTGGTTGAATTAATTGCACAAACAGGTGCCATAAGGAGGTTCATGCCACACAGTGAATCAGCTTCAGATCTGGGATCAGCATTTTTTTATTCCAAATCTGTGGTTCAGCACTGCAGACGATGCTCTCTCTTGGTGAGTGAAAGAAAATAGGAATTGCCTTGAAAAGAAGTGTTTCTGCAGTACCCCAGTGACAACATGGACCATCAGTAGCCATTTACCAGTGAGTAGTAGCCAAGGCACCTCTGACCTGTTACGTCTCTTGCAGAAAATCTAGTCAAAGCCAAAGCCTGAGTGGTCCGAGACCCTGACAATGATAACAACCGAGTTGTAGCTTGTTCTGATAAAGGCTTTCCATTTCCATCTATATACTATCAATTTACTTCAAGAGAAGTAAGGAAAAGACCATGATTGACATGGAGAGATCAATAACTACCTATTTAATGCAAAACCGTAATATGTATCTGGAGCGACACTTAAGACATTTCATCATGTCTCTCTTCATACAGAAAGGACTGTTCTGTTCTAGGTGAGAGAAACTGATTCATAGATTTATGAATCTGGAAGTTCAAAGATTATTCACCCTGACCTTATCCATGGTGCAAGCCAACAGAATTTCATCCTGTAATTCTTGTGAGGGGCATTTTAGCTTGTGAGAATACTGTGATTACAGTGTTCTGGGGAACAGAAAGAATTTCAGTGGTATTTTAATAAATCCATACAATAAGAAGAAGGGATCATGAATGATGAGATAAAACAGTGTGGTACTCCCATAAGAAACAGGTAATTATCTTCTCACTAGATGTACTGTGGAAGCCTAAGAGAATTTCACCATTGCATTCAAGGTAAAGGAATATATCCTGTAAGGTACCGAGTGCTTGTGTCTTCCTCTGAGGTCCACTGCATCCAAGGATGCTCATCAAACACTGAATGCTCTAGCCAAGTGCTTAACCCTAGGCGTAATCTCATTTTAGCTGCCTGTCATACGCATCAGACATAACTGTGGCAGGGATAAGAAATTACTAGGAGTAGTAAATCCAGGCTCAGTATAAACAGCAATTTCTAAAAGGCTGACTACTTCTGCTTTTGCTTCAGAGAACATAGTCACACATTCACCTACAAATAAAGGCTAAAAATAGATATCATATAGTTAGAATTAACCCCCTGTGGATCTCTAGCCGCAGCTACCTGAATGCACTACGTTAACATCCAGCATCCTAAGGTGTTCAGCAAAAATCTTCATTGCCTTTCTCCCCAGCTGTGCCTTTCTTAAGGGGCAGAAGATAAGGTAAGCTGTGGGAAATAATTTACATACCACTTGGCAGGGTGTAAAGGGAAGGTAGGTACCCAGGCTTTTCTAGTACAAGTGTCATAGGAAACATTTAATTTAAGGTTTCTTGAAAAACTACTCAGTGAGAATAACATAAAAAATAAGTGGGAAAGCTAGAGCTTATGAGGTCTCTGCCATCTAGATGTCCAATGTCTCTGGGAGGGGTAGAGCAGAGGAGCTGAGAACCTACCTCTCCTTTGTGCTTTTACCAGGTGACCTGTAAATGATTTTGAATAACCCATCTTTAGTCCTTCCCTGAGAGCTGCAGCACAGAAAAGAGAACTATTATAGGTGAAGCAGGCACATGTTCCCTCTAGTAAAATTTCCCAGTCAGCTAAATGGAAAAGAAATGAAAAATAGGAAGCTTAACCTGCACCCCCCCCCCCCCCCAGTAGTGCCCCATGGAGGGAGTAATGAGATAAATGGATTCTGTGTGCATTAAATACAAAATATGTTAGTAATGAGTTGAGGAGTAAAGCACTGGACTGCTATAGATTCTGTTTAGATTATGGTTGCACTGGACTGCCAAACCCTAACATATATCATTGCACATGATGTCATAATATTTCAATTGATGGATATATTTCATTTGATTGTGTTTGGCAGCAATGGGGACATGCAATAAAATATTTGAGACAGTTCCTTGTTAAATGCACTGGTAGGTGACATTCTGACTCCCCCCTCAAACTTGCAAATAATGAAGGTATCATAACAGATTAAGAAGTTAAGTTTCTACTCTCCAACTCACTATATTTTGCCCCTCCTCTCTTCTCCTCTCCTTGTTATGCTGTAACCAGATCGTTTCAATATCCTTACAAACACCTCTACTGGTAAAAGTGCAACCTAAAGAATTTGTCATTGCCTGTGGTGAGTAGCAGTCCAGTACAGTTGTAAGATATATTGCCCTGAAGGACTGCTACTCTTCGAAGGCAATGATAAATTCTTTAAGCCTATAAGTGAAAACAAATGGAACCTCAGGCAAAAAAAATTCCACACTTTCATGTGTGGGAGAGTTCAGCCTCCAGTAGAGGAATTAAAAAAATCCCTGCAAACTGGCATGGTGTTTTCTTTTGTGAAATCAGGAAAGACTAGGTCGTCAGAGTTTACTTCCAAGGAGGAGACCACAGCTATGGTCTTAGCAATGAAAAGAAGCCATGGATGTTTGCATTTACTCAAGAGTGAAAATTAATCAGGATCATCTCTTTTACTTGTAGACCAGAAGTAACAGAACAACTGCAGAACTTAAATCCAACAAGTGTTAGTGACCTGAAGAATAATGATGCCATTTCCACCGCAGCTCAAGCTTAAATAAAAACTGCCATATTTGAGAAATAATGCAAAAAATTTGGGACCCAGACACAGTGTTGCCCAGTGAGATATCAGATTGATCTGCAGTCCCTGATCTTGGAAAACAATATTTCCTTCATCGGCTGTGCCTGGAGGTCAATACATTCATGCTCTTACCCCTTGATGGCTTTTTTTAGTTTACTCTTTCTTCCATTCCAAACATTGAGAGCATAAAATTGGAGAGAAAGAAAAAGGAAATATTAAACCACCTCAATATTCAGACAAAATCACTACAGGCTTTACTGCAATACTTCAGAAATGTGGGATTTTTCTCACTAATATTTCAAATGCATCTACACAAAATTTCCATCAATCACGCCTATAAGCAAATTTCTTCCAAACTTTCCATATTTCCCTTCCAAAAGGATTTGACAACATGACTCTATACAATTTTGCTGTAGGCCATGATGCATGCACAGAAAATGAATCAGATTAGCAGTTTGCTTTTTCTCTCCTCACAGTTGTTTTTCCACTGTATTATTAACAGTGCTAAATGAAAACACTGCTGAAGTCAAAACACCAAAATGTGGTGGAGTGGAAAGACATATTTATTCCCATATGCGAAGGGTAAGACCTTTACAAGTCATCATAGCTTCACACTCATTTGAGTTATAGGTCTTGCCTCTTACTGGTAAGGACAGATGATGCATAATCCCTCTGCAACCTATTACGCACTCAGTTTCTCTCATACTCTCACTCTGTTCCCCTTCAGCACACACCACTGTGGCACAAATACTCAGGACAAATGAATCTGCAGAGGCCTATGGTTCCAACCTTTTTACAGCATGCTAATTAACTACTTGTAATTACAGTGGCAGGTAGTACCTCACATAGAGGGAACTGGCAGTCTCTCCGGGATATAAAGGGAACGCTGAGATTTTTTTCAACAGCAAGTTTAGCTAAGAATTCTGCTTAACTGATGAGGAATAAAGTGAATGGGTTAAAATCTTATAAAGATGCTCAGCATTTTTCATCGTTCTGACTTAATGCGAAAAGCTGCTTAATGGGTGTTTAGGAGGTTATTTAACAGTGATTTTTAAAAGACGTGAAAAACACATAGGTGAAAAATACATTGTATCATAGTATGGTATGTTTAAATATAGCAGGAAAGGTGGCTTGGTTTATAGGGAATGAGAACAAGATATCAGACATGGGATTGAACCCATGATCAAATTCAAGTTTACCAACAGCTATATGGCATAGACATCAGCTCACTCTAAGTTACAGCTTTCAAATGAGCTTTGCGGTAGGTTCTGAAGAGTGAGCAAGAGCATGGCTACAAGCACACACCTATTTCCTAGTGTGGATGGGGGATCTGGCGTGCTACGCTTCACTAGGTCATACTGTGTGGCATCTGGCTGCTTCTGTGTATCCCATCTGGGCATGAGATTACAACAGATGGCCAGAAGAGGGGGAAAAAAAAGCTTATCCAGGATACCACATAGAAAGGCCGCAATGTCACTTGCCACAACAGCAGACAGGCTTGTTGGCAGCCAGAGCTCAGCTGTACTTATGAAACAAGACCATTAGAGTAAGTCACAGCCATCTTGTAAGAGGCAATGTGGACCCACAGAGCAAGTCAGAAAAACATATCCCGCTTCGTAGCTGAAGGCCTAAAAGACACCGAAGATGTAGCGTCTTCAAATCTTCTAGCCTCACCTCTCTACAAGCTTTAAATGAGACAGGAGTTGTCTCCCTCCCATACCTCAGAGCCTGTGTAGCTGTGGTACATATAAATGAGGATGTTCATCCCTCACAAGCGGAGATGCTGGCCAAGATATGAAGCATAGCAGCAATGGCTGAGATAGTAAGAGAAGGTAAAGGTACTACAGAACTCAGTATCCTGATGGGGTCTCCTGTTATCATGGATGAGGTATGAGTTTGAAGATCATGATATCTCCCAGAGCCTCCCAAATGGTATTCAACAGTAACTATGATAATCTTAAGAGACAATGCAAAATAATTCTGACAACAATGGTTAATTTGTCTAAAAAAATACTTGTCACTTAAGTTCTGTTTTTCTATACCTAGACCAAGTTTCTTTCAGCACCTTTTTCCTTCAAACACCCTCTTGATAGAAAGCTCTTGAAATTCTCTTTCTGTGTGTGTGAACTATGGTGTCTAAATGAAATCATTCCCATGAATGACAAGACTTTGTTTTATGCTGCAGCGACACATGTTTAATAAGGCTGTTGATGTAACAGATGAGACAACTGCATTAGCTTGGGAAATGGTTTTAGATCTTGCACATTGCAGCGTTAACCTTCATTCCACCCAGCAATGATCTCCTGTCTGAGAAACTGAACTCACCGGCCCTCTGGGTTAGTCAGGGGGAAGCTCTGGTCTTGGGTGACATTCCTTCCATCTGAGAGCAGAGAAGCACGTATTGTTGGTTCCAGTAATTGTTGGCGGGAGCCGCTCGGTGCAGGAGTGACTGCCAGGTCCCTAAAATGATACGAAAAGAAAATAAAGTGCTTGTTACATGCATTTATACACTGTGATTGCATAATTAGTGCTTAGTGAGTTCACAAGACCTGTTCAAATGGAAGGGAGCATTCTCTCCAGTGGGAGAGAAGCAGCAGTAAGCAGTTGGGGGTAGTAATCCAGGCTCTGCTTATCGCCAGTAAAGAGGAACAGTCACAGCTACAGTACGAATAAACTCAAGCTTAAGTAGATATCTAAAGCAGGTTGGATGAAACACTCTGCACTGAAACAGAGCAAGTTGGGCAACTTGTTCAGACAGAGACATTTTTATTAAAAGCGAGAAGTTTCATCTTCACTGCCATGCATAACACCTGAAAAAAAAAGAATTCCTGGTAACTGCAGTATTGACACCACTTTGTTTACAAACTCGAACCACAGAGCTAAAACCAAAGAGATGTAGCACTGAAGACTACCAAACATGAGAGATCCTTTAAAATTATAACTCTTGGAAGATTCCATACAACTACCCCCTGTACCAGAGCCATCCCACTGACACACCTCAGCTAAACTCTGAAGGAATCTTTTTATATTTAAGTGTAATTAACGTAACTTTTGCATGTGCCATTTTCTAGTTTCCCTAGGAAGACTGTCAAGAACATTTTTAACTGCAGTAGCAACTGATGAATGCTCGCTCCATGGGAGAAGCTAGGTTTTTAAGGAGGGTTAATAGCTTTTCTGAAGACTCATTGCTACAGTTTGGAAAAAAGCCCTAAACTGTTAAGTTCTTCATCAAGCCCTCAATCACACCCATAAGCCATTACAGCAACAAGTATACCACTGCCACTTTCCCACAGGAAACAGAGAGGCTGGAATCTCAAACTGTCTTTTCATGCCTCCTTATCTTGCCAAAGCAGGACTGTTCCCCGCTGTGGGTCTTCTGGTGCTTCAGTGACGAGGCTTTCCCCACTCCTCCTCAGAAATTGGTCCCTAGCCCAATACACTACATTGCAAGCAAGGTTTTTCTACTCTTCATCTTTAAATTTCCCTTTCTTTAGTTTCTTCTTCGTATTAATACCTATAAATAAAGTTTCCCTAGTGTAAGGCCTCAAGCTGTTATTGTTTCACTGTCAAGCAACTGCCGGCTGGTAATGGTGTTTGTTCATTATCGGCTCAGATCAAAATCTGAACCAATTACATAGGAGAAAGGGCCTGATTCCATTAATGGTCCCCAGAGCTAAGTGCTCTCAGAAATAAGTTCTTGTAAATCCACACCATGGAAATAAAAAATAAAAAATAAAAAAAAAAAAAGAAGAAAAGAAAATCTCTCAGCAAAGAACTCTGTTCAATATATAGCACAGAAATACACGTTCTGACAGTGGAGGTTATGAGTCAAAGCAGGAATCTGAAGAGAGGATTCAAGGCCACCCCTCTAAGGACTGGATCACCACAGGAAAATGAACTCTACTTCCTGGAGCAAAGGTTTGGATTCAGAACGAGCCACCCACTCTCAGAAGCTACATCTCAGTTGATAAATAAACTTAAAATAACACGCCCAAGGGCTAAGAAAAATACGCATATTTAAAGGTGTTATAGGCATGTTTTTTCACCTTCTAGCTCTGCACTAAATGTCGTCTTTACATTGCCTCTCAAGTTGTGTACTGTCATTATAGCTGTTTAGGCTCTGAGTGTAATTCAAATTGCACCAGGATGCCTCAGCTCAAAAAAAAAAACCAACCCACACCCACCCAAAAAACCCCCAAACAAAAACAACAACCAAAAAACCCCAAGCAGGCTGGAGAAGTTAAATAGCACCCTGTGAAAAGGCATATTCATGTAGTTCAGAACAATGTCCTAGTTTTGTCATTAAGAGGGGCATAGAGATAAAACTGAAAAGTGAAATTACGTTGAAGTCAGAGGTCGACTAGACAAGAGGGTCTGCAAGAAACGTGTGCAACCACATGCATGCAAATCTTATGCTCACAGCAAGCAAATCCAACCTGAAGAGAGTGTCTCAACCACAGGTAGACCATGGACCTTCTCTCCTCCCAGTTCTGGCAAGGAGCTCCAGTGAAACTGTAAAGCGTACAAATTTCTTCCAACTCAGAAAAGCAAGATTGCATGTTATAAATTCTCCTCTCAGTGATGCCTGCTCTTGCTTACTCAAATGCTTTCAGCAACACTTAGATGAAATCAAGAAGTTAATCATTAGCTAAAGGCCTGATCTGAATGAGACTTCAACCCAGCCCCTTATTTATTACCCTCAAACACACAGACAACTAGTGAAATTATTCAGAGCAAACCACCAAACGTTGCCCGTACATAATATTAGGCAATGAGACATCAAAATGACTTTAATTACACCTGCACACAGCCACAGGCAAAAAATAAAGAGGCCAGGTTTTCAGTAAGTTGGATTTAAGAATCTAAATTTATGTAGATAACCCCGCGGGGTTGCAATAAATAAAATAGGTTAGATTCTTGTGTGACACTACTTTTAAAATTTTCTAACACATACTCAGGAAAATTGAGCAATATATTTCAGTTTGGATTAAAATGTGTAACGATGAGATTAAGCATTAAAGAATCTTTTAATATTTACAGATACACAAGAAATTCAAAGCATCTAGTACCTTAGGAACTTTTTTGCATATATCATCTTTGGCATCAGTTTCATATATTTCATAGAAGTTAGAGCCACTCCTAACTGAAGTAGGGTTCTCATTCTCTGCAGCAGTGCTGCTCAAAAGCAAGCTGAGCTGCCTCTGTCCTCTACCATTTCTGGTCCACAGCCACCTATTTACACTCCCACTCTTCTCTCAGCATGATGCCAGCACAAGTGGTTCTTCAGAGAGTGAGGGAAATTGATCTGGCTAAAAAAACCCAATCTTTTTGTTTGGCAAAACCTGATCCGTACCTTTATCCAGTTCATCGCTAAGCTGTATGACATTGGAGTCAGTGGCAGCAGAGAGTGGGCAGTGGAAGAAAAGGAAGGGGCAGGTGTGTACGAGCCAGCACTGCCACTGAAGAAACAGTAAAGTTACTGAATTCTTCCTCATTGCATGATACAAAAAATGTCTGGACACAAAAAAGTCTATTTTGCACCGATAGCCCTTTTTAACCACGGAAATCAGGATACAAATCCTCAAATAAAACACTGCTTTAATGGAGCTACTCAATATCGTTTATACAATTAAAATCTAGTCCAACAGCTAAAAAAAAATCTTCAAGCAAAACATTGTAGAAACTTCTAGCTAATCATACTGGTATTTCTAGGTGCTAAAAATATACATAATCAATTACCTGCGTATTTCACAAATTTGTTCTTTTTAAATTATAATCACCTACTTTTTAAAGGACTTGCCTTATTTTGCTTAAGGTTACCTGCAATGCCCTCAGAACAAAGTTTCATTCTATACCAACTCCACCCAGCATGGCAAGCATGGACCTTCCTCTTGTATTGCCCCATACAGTTTGAAATTAATCTGCTTTAATGAACTTCCTTCCCTCTACCTGCCCCACTTTGCTCCAAGATGCCATCTCCCCAGGGGTAGAACAGACAGAACAAAATGCATGCTTGCTTCTCCCAGTCACAAGTCCGTACCTTCAGTCAAACTCCATTAGAAGGTCAGGGTAAAAATGAGGCTTTACACTGGAGTAACTGAAGCAGGGGTGCATATTCTTTTCTCTTCACTCCTCTAGTGAGGCAGTACTCCCCAGCGAGGAGTGCTATGGCAGCAAATTTGTTACATCAAGATTCACCAGCTGAAACCCTGTATAAGGCTGGATGCATTACCAGTGAAAGAAATCCTATTTTTTACATAAACAGCAGACTGATTAAGTGGACAATGTACATTTATGCACTGCTGCTGACAATGAAAATAAAGAAAAGGTGTATCATGTTCTAAATAAAAATCCATCAGAACAAAGCTGGTAAGATTAAAGCAAGAATAGAAAGCAAGAGGTTTTTAAAACTGGATTTTAAACAGGCATGACCTATCCTATTTATGTAACCAAGTAAATAGAGAAATAAAAACCTCCAAATAAAATACAGCTTGCAAGAAAAAAAACCTGACAACATGGATATTCCATAGGAGAGAGAAATCTGGGAAGCACTAAAGCTGAGATGGATCTAGACATAACAATAAGCTGAGATGTCAAACCTGGATATCTAATGCAAAAACAGCTGCACAAAAAGATAGGTGTAATTTTTGAGCAACATATGCAGAGACAATGAAGTATCGTGCCTCAGATGCAGGCTATAGTGTCGTCTTTGCCAGCACTTGACAAAGGGACACTTGAAATACTCTAGACTGATCAATTTTGAGAGTTAATTAACAAATTAGAGAGGCTTTATAGTAACCCTACTGAATTTACTCAGCATAGACTTACAGAGAAAGATGAAAAGACATTACAATATATATAGTTTGAGTAAGAACCATGGAAAGGTATAAAACAAGGTAACAGTCTAACTACGCCAAAATTATTTGGATGCTGCTGCTAATATTACTATGAATCATGACATTGTTGGACTGATGATCTTAGAGGTCCTTTCCAATCTTATGATTCCTAGTTCTTACTTTCATTAAAAATAATCCAGCCACCAAGCCAGGAAACATGAAATTGCTGCTCTACCCTTAACTGGTTTAGTGATGGACTTGGTAGTGTTAGGTTAATGGTTGGACTGGGTGATCTTAAAGGTCTTTTCCAACTTAAATGATTCTATGATTCTATGATAATGAATTACCTTGTGTCATCTCAGTTGCACAATCTGTGTACAAATTCCTTGCTTAGCCCTTGACAAAAGCTAAAGAAAGCCACATCACCTTATATTTCCTATGGGCTAAGAGTGTGCACAAAGATGGTTACCACAGCTAAGATGGCATGCAGTAACCTTTTAAGCTACTCATGACCCAAGTCCACAGTTATATATTGAAAGAAAGATCCATTAAACCCTAGGTGAGCTTTTCCAAGGTGAAAGCCCCTCTCTTATGGGTATTTAAAACTTGATTTAATTCTGTATAAACAAACATGCTCAATAGAACAACTATACACTTGCCGCTGGACTGGACTACATGACCTACTGGGTTCTCCACCTGGGTTCCAGGATTCAGATTCTTTCTCAGAATTTCACCCATTTTATAGCATTCATATTTATGGCACCTCTTGACTTAACCTCTTGCATGGAATGGGGTGTTGTCTACTCTTGCCTCCAATTCTGCTGAGTGCATCTATCCCTTGAGGCCTGGTAATTGCAAATGATGATTGGGGGTGACAGGATTTTCTCTCACCTGCCTGACAGCTCTGCCAAGGCAGTCTGATACTTAACTCCAAAATCAGCTTCCAGCAAATGAGTATTGTGGAATAAAGGGAGCGAAGAGCAACAGACTAAGACAGACTCAGATGAACAGTTCACACTGCAACACTAAATCAAACCCAAAACATCTAGCAAAAGAAAACACTCGTTCCCATTTTTCTTTTCATTTCAACATGATTTAAAATTAATGAATCGGCTATTTAAAAGAAACTTTGCTCTAAGTAAAGATTTGGAAAATGCATCATAATTATGAATCTCTGCCTGTAAGCTTCTGCCATTAGTTTTCTAGAGACAGTTTAATTCAGTAGAGTTGGGGTTTTTTTCCTTCTTTTTTTTTATAAATAGTCAGTCTCCAGACTTTGTTCTTGGAATGATTTTCATCAACACATCTGGTGCGTACAGTTGGTGACTGCATTTGTACAGGCCTGAAACAAGCTGAAAGATGTGAACTTTTCTATTCGTTCTGATGATTGCTGATTTAGAGGCCTATGTGATACTTTAAATGTCAACACTGTGAGCCTTTTCATTGTAGGTAGGAAAAGCAAGCAATGAAGAGTTCAGATTAGGAATATTTACACCAGGGGAAGGCAGGAGTGCCACAAAAGATCAATCAAAGAAGGTACATTGAGATTTATAGACTTTTAACACCATTTTTGCAGTGCTGTGACTGTAAGGAAAAAGGAAAAGAGACAGTCAAGACAGGATCCATTTTCTAAAAAAAAAAAAAAAAAAAAAAAAAAGATTAGGAAGTGGAGTCAGCTTTCAGATTTAAACAGAGAGATCCACAGCAGATGGACTGCAGCAAACAACCTTGCGCTGAGCATGGCTGTGACTTTCCAACACTAATTACTAGTACTGCTAAAAAACATGCCAGAGACTGTGAGCTGCCACCAGAAAAATCATCCTTTTCTGCTCTCTCAGAGAAGAAGCATATAATAATTTCATAGTTCTAGACATATTACTTGTGGGTAGCTCTGCCTCATACATTTTTGGTCTACATTTCGGGACTGCTGCACTCCCAAGTCAAAAGACAAGTGGTGCGTGATGTATTTGTACGGCTAGATTTAAAAGTGATAGAAAGGAGAGTTGTCTATGAGATTTGCAATCCCTGACAGTTTCTAATCATTCATCCTTAAGAGCAGTGGAGAAGAAATCTTAAACATGCATTTTTCACTTTATTGCAAAGGACTTGGCTGAAGCCACTCTGCATTACCTGTGAAACAGCTGGACGTATGCACTAGGTGCCGTCCCTGCCAGAGCCTGACGTGCTGCAGAACGCCGCCTTTGGAGAGAAGCTTCTTCCTGATAAAGAAATATCACCAACTTTATACAGCATCTTAAACGTATATGTGGTAACTTAATTGGCTGTGATATTCCTCTCTTTTGCCGACTCTAGAGTGTATCCATTTATACATTCTGGGAAAATAGCCGAGCTATATTATAACTAACAAGGCGCTAAATATGATTCACCGATCTACACAAACCAAATTTTGGTCTGAAATCTTGCTGGCTTTGAAAAATGGAGATCTTCATCTCCAGTGAAGCTCCATTTCTTCAGAGTAATCAAAATGTGCCAGGACGTAGGAGGAAGGAATATCCGCAGAGAACCACTTTTGATGCATCCCAACCTCCCAATACGTTAGAGCAGGGATAATTCTAGCTGTGCTGTTGTCTTAAGCTTCTTTTCACTAGCAAGAGGCTGAATACAGAAGAATTTGCCTCCGCTACATCTTAAATACACTATCTCCTTGCTCCAGCAATGCAGAAAACCTGCCTTACCAACTCTATGTCAACCAATATTCCTCCCTTGGAGTAGGAATTACCTTTTGCAAATTTCAGTTAGTTAAAATGACTTTGTACAATGAACACATTATGATCTCAGCAGACTGGAAAATGTGATCCTGAATTTTAAGGGCATGTTAATTAACATGTGCTGTAGGACAATGTAATTTCTCAGGTCAGGGAAATGCAGCACTACAGCGTGCTTAAAAAAATGAAATGTAAATCACAGAGCTAAGTTATTAAATTCTGCTTTGTTATCAACTGATAGCCATTGACAGTTATCAACTTAATAGCTAAATCACATGTCTGTAACAGAGGTGTTTTGTCATGGTATGAGCAATGAAAGAGAATATAGTTAATCTGCTGAATGCTCACATTATGACTATTGTGAATTCCTTCACTTTCCTTCACTATTTATGCTAAGTAAGGCTCTGCTTAGATGCTCACTGAGCTTGTGTTTTGTTTTGCTTTCTTTTGGTAAAGATGCAGTTCTGACCCTTTTTTTCTGCGTGGATTACAGGTGTAGATACCTTTCTGTTCATACCTTGTATAGTTAATTACAGCCATACAAAATTAGTGCAGGGTTGGCATGCTCACAAGGGATAAGGCTGCAAGGAATCAGATCTACTGTCTTTCCCTGAGCAGCAGATCCTGCTTCTTATGCTTGTGGATAATTCACATTAATTTCTTCATATTTTTTGTTTTCCAGTTCTACTTGATGGGAGTGGAATGTGATTACTGCAGTGACAGCACATTATTTGGGTGCCAGAAGCACAAAAATCATTTGCAGTCCTAAATGTAAAAGTTTAGACAAAATTTTACTTTAAGGCCACAGACATATTTATATTCTTCTCATTAAATATGGTCTTAAGAGGCATCTGTGTTTCACCTTGAACATTTTACTATGGTGGCACTTCAGCTGATGCTGTAAAGCTTCCTCTGCATGTAAAAATATATTGGAAACTTAGTGTAGTAAATAACAAAAAGGTATTACCAGCACTGAACAAGGAGACTAATAAGAAAGAGAGCCTTGCGGCCACTAAGTAAGTTAAACCCAAGGTAAATGATAGCCTCCTTCATCATAAACCACTTCTCCCTGACTTGACAAAATGTAAACTTTCAAAATAAAAATAAAAAAGATGAAATAAAAAGTGAAAAAAATAAATTGCTGGGGTAGGAGTGATGGCAGAGTGCCACCAAGGTAAGAAATACTCTGGCTTCTCTCTCACGTTAAACTAACAAACCTTTGGATGAAAGGAACATGAAAATAAACAACACTTGTGACATTTTTTTAATTGTGCATGGCTTGAAAAGAGATATTCCATTTCAGAAGACTGAAAATGGGAGGTTCCCTATTTATGCCAGCCATTTTACAGTGATACCTTTCTCCACACCTAAAGAGAACCTTTTTTAAAGCCTGGGAAATGGGGGCAGGGGGGGTCTATTACTTTGCTCCATCTCCAGCATTAATTCTAAACATCAGAGGTAGTTATAAATACAGAGATAGTGGCAAAATTGTACAGCAAGTCATGCCTGCCAAGCCATCATTCATCATAATGACATCATCACCCTGGAATGGAACAAAGTTTAAAGCTTTCATTTTTCTTTTTCTCTTTCTCCTGTCGTTGTCGTATAAAAAGAGCATTAGGCACATCTGCTTCATAGCCCCAACTCCCCCACTGCCTGCAAGGAGAATGAATGCCTTTAGGGAAAGGACTATTAAGGAGAAGTAAAAAAAAAGAGAGATGAAGCTGACGTTGCAAAAGGTTATTTGAAATCCAAGCACATTGTTGAATCTGTGGATTGAAAAAGTAAAGGCAGGTGAAAAATGTGCTTAAATTTGATCTCTGGCAGTTATCACTAGCATATGCTCTGAAAGGCTCGGCTGAACGAGTTTTTCCACTGCCACAGGATGGCGTTCATAAGTAATCTTCATTGTCCTATTAACTGCATCTAACTATTTCCTCTGAATACGATAGTTTCATATCTTGTTGTGGAGCTGAGAGATGATATTCAGCTCCCTTACACCCATACAGAATTGGATGAAATCAATTACGATCAACAGATTTATTCTGGTGTAAAATTGAGCAGAAATGACAGCTTGTCCTCTCATCTGAGTTTACCTGCCTCAGTCTCATCAATCTGCCTTTAACTCTGGGGAACTGGTAAATATTGTTGAAATGAAAGATGGCCAGAGAACAGGTGTCAATTTTCTCTGGAGAAAGAAAGGTCTGACTAACATGTATTTTTTGCATACAACTTATCATTTCTGGCTATGGTTAGAGTAGATGCTGCTTACCACAGAACCCAGTTGTGCAGCACGTTTGTCCGAGGTGTCTCCTGGGTATTTTTTGGCAGAAGAGTCCAAGAACTCACTGACAGATGAAGACCAAGTAGTTCCAGGAATTACTCCACTGAGTGACAATCTTTGCTCTTGTAAGAGCCGTATTCTTGAACCTACTATGTAAAAGACACTTCTCAACAAAAATATTCTGAACGCCACTTTGCTTACAGCAAGCAGAAAGAAACTAGCAATTTGCAACTATTGTCAGCTGGCTTTTGGCACAATTCTGGATTTACAAAAGATAACTGTGAAAGTTATAAGGGATATAAAATATGTGGTTCCCAAAAACATTTTAAAACTTCCAAGTACTACACAGATATAATAAATTTATCCCCCCTGAATAGTTAGGCAAACTAATGTTATGAAAAATCTAAAAAAACTACCACTACATTACTGGACTAGGAAGAGGTGCTTAACCATGTGTAAATGAGCTCATTTTGTTATGGATGCTCTGATATGCACCACTGTTAAGACCTCTAAGCTAATTACAGTCTACCTACTACTAGAAGTTTTAACCTCCTCAGAGCTCTTGTGATGGGGAGTTGGAGCAGGGCACCTTTTCTTCTGTTATTTATCAGAATTCCTGTGAACAGAAATCCAAAGACTTGCACCACTGCTGTATTGCAAGGACTCAAACATGACTGTAAGCCAGAAAGCTGAAGACACAACTAACTTGCTTTTTTCCAAACCCATTTTTTTTCAAATTTGAAAAATCTGTAAACTGGGATTTATCCTGTCTATAAAATGGTATCTAAATATGAAATTAAGTCACAGAAAAATTCTTATAAATATTGGTACATGGCAGTCTTTGCAGAAATCCAATCATAAGAAAGGTTTAATTGAGCACAAGAGCTCACAACCTAAGAAGTCACATACAAAGGTGGTGGATGAAAGGCAAAGGGACATCCCATCCATACACATGTTCATATACTAAATATGGTTATTTTTCTTAGTATATGCCTTTATAAAAAAGCTTCAACAGTCATCAGATGACTCTCAGCATAGCCATTATATACTGCTGGTTTGTAGCTGCCAGAAGATCTGGTATTAAGGACAGAGGAGATGAGACGTGAGATTGGTGGGTTCTGTTTCAGGCACAGTAAACTACTCACTTCGACACTGAGTAAGTATAGAGCCTAACATTCAGGGGTGCAGAGCTTCACGCTGCCAAAACTTCAGTGGGATTTCTGGTGCCCACCATCACAAATAATCAGTCTTTGACATAAATGTCCCTTTCCTCATTCGTAAAATACAAATAGTAACACACACTCCACAGGACTGCTGTAAGATTTAATTAATAGTTGTAAAGTGCTGAGTTCTATGGATGAAAGCTGCTAATGCAAGTGCAAAGCATTATCAGCTCTGAAATGTATTATACTTCTGCTATAAAAAGTTTTAAAAAGAAGAACTTATCTATTTTCTCTCAGTATTTTTACTCTACACAAGCAAAAGATCTTGCACAGCAGTCCATTAAAAAAAAGAATTAACAACCTATCATAATCTCACACAACCAATCTTCCCCCTGCTACTATCTTACTAAAAATGTCCATATTAAAGACAACCTTGGGGCAAGTTTTTTAAAATAAATTATTTCACACAGTCCATAAGAAGAGCTGATCTCTAGAAATAGGATAGTTAAATTTATTTAAACACCTATAAATGAAGCTCTAAATGAATTTAATGGTGCATAGTAAATTTAAAAGTTACTTTATGGACAGCAGAATTACCAAAATCTAGTACTATTAATGAAGTTTCTGTAACTAATGACAAGTCACTCACTGAAAGAACTCAGAACTGCTGAGGAATACAAAGAAAGCCCTTTAAAGGAACCTCACATACACATATATATATTTTCAAAACTACCATAATTATATAAAAATCTTTTATCTTTAATCCTCTCCCTTCTTCTTCTTTCCTGATAATCTAGTTAGGGTTTGGTGGGTTTCGTTGCCTCTCAGGAAAAAACGTCTCCAGCGTTTTTAAGACAAATAAGTAACAATATTATAGTAAATAAGGTAAGGAAGTAATCTTTCTCACTTCAAACAAACATGGAAGCTCTGGAAATGAAAATAAAATCCACATAGTTTAAGATTAAGAAAGATTCTTCAGAAATGTCCCCACTGCTGTAGCACTGAGATGCCACAGTATGTGTAGAAGCTTTTTTCTTGTCCACTGGGAAATCAGTATTTATTAATTCTTTCAGGATACAAAATCACTTGAAACGATGAACTGATGAATTTTACACTATCCTTCATTAACATTTCAGACATTTTTGCCCTCCCTTCAGCTACTTTTATTTGCAGCCTTCTGAGCCACACAGAAGGTCATGAATATTGTCTCTGTGTTACTTAGGCAACTCATTAACCCTCCTGTTGCAATGGATCTAACCAAGACAGCCACAAACCATGGAGGCTCTTGGAGTTAGAGGAAAGAGTTCACATAAATGAGCTTCTTGTTAGTCCATGCTGTGCAATATCTTACTATCACAATATCTGTTTCTTATTTCTTTTTCTCCAGTATTTTAGAGATCATATTCTGCTTTCATTCCAGCTGGTAACTTGCCCTGTCTGGAATAAATTCAAGGGTTACAGCTGAGTTCTCACAATATGTTAAACTAATCTTAGTTATGCCGCCTCTGACAAGAGTAGTTCTTTCTTTCTCCACAGGCAGCCATGAAGCTCTTCTCCCCTACCCTTGCCTCCTTGACCCAATTCTATAGCTGCATGATGAGTTTGATCAAGGAATCAATCTGTCTGAAAGTTGGTGGGTTTTTTTCCTAGGTTAGTTTTTGGATGGAACTGTTCCCTGATCCAGGTTACAAATAACTGCACAATCAGAAGAATGAGAGCAACGAGCAGACTACAAATGCATTGGCAGGAGAGCTAAGTTGGGCATGGCAACTTTTTGCAGCAGCATGCATCTGGATTAGCTGGAAGTGATCATGAAGCTGCAGCCTTAGTCATTAAGGGCTAAAAGGCTTCTGTTAAACACACCACCGATCATTTGGGTTTACCCCAAAGTGGGTAGCCCCAAAAGCACTTGGAGTGAATTTATAAGTTGCCTTCACTCATCTTACTATTCTGTTTTTCATATCCCTCTTCATGCTTCTGGCTATCCTGGGGAAGAGAGTAAAGTAAGGTCTCAGTGCCATGCTGTTTTCTTGTTGCTCAACAGTTTGGTAGGCACAAAGCTCTTAGCCACAGACACATATCTCACTTGTGATTCATCTGGAATGACTGGGAAGTCCTCAGCCCAAAAGCATCCTCAAAGAGTCAGGCAACTCACTTTCTCCATATTATTGCCTCAGGGCACACAGTGATGTAAAGTACCTGGAAAGATCTCTATTAAAGATTCAGATCCCAGGGAGGAATCAGCCCAGGACACCCATTACAGAGAAGCACACAGAGTTTTCGGAGACAAGCAGTCTCACAGGTTGCATCATTTATAGATTTCAATTCTTGTAACAAATAAGTAGGAATACTCTACTGATAAAAACAGTAGTAGCATGTGCCCAGACACAGTACCTGCTCCTGCTCTGCTATTCAAGTCCTGAACGCTATCAAAACCTGCGTGCAGCTCCAAACCCAGGTATGCCTTTACGAGGAAACTCAGCTCTGTGAATGCCTCATCCAATTCATCTGCAGATAGGGATATGCATTTCATGGTGGAGAGAAAGGAAACATAATGAAAAAACAAGCTTTCATCAGTACGAAGTTACAAGTCCCAGAAGTTTGACACAGAAATGCATTCTTAACTTATCCAGCTCATCTCTTTGGGAGAAAAGATCTTCATCTTCATAAATAGCACATTCATGAAAATGATCTGAAATTCATCTCAGTTTCTGCACTCACCTAAATATTCTCCTTCTGCAATTTGGTTTACTGTGTTTTATTTCTTTAATGCTATATTTAAATTGTAAGCTCCATATGCCCTTGACAATAACTACAAATACAATATTTCATACCACAATCATATATTTCACCATCACCGTGGTGAACCACAAAAATCACCTCCGCAAAAGGGCAGACACAGAACGAACTAGAAAAGGATTCTTCTCTACTACCTGTTATCCTCAGTTCCTAAGTAACAAGGAAGAAACATTGGTTTTAATGCAATATCTGCCACCCTCACATTCCTTCTTTCAGGCTGGGAGACTTGAGCAAGTTTCTAAGCGTAATAGTCCTACAAGGAAAAGCTTTGCAGCACCCTCCTCTTTACAGCGAGACATTGCCAGACTGCACATCAGCTGTCATTTCAACACTTGAAAAAAGCCTATCCTGCCCAGAGATAATTAGGTCCATTACATCAAAAGCACCTCTGAACTCTGCCCACAAACCAACAGACAATTAGCACAGATCAGTTTAATATTCTCATAGGAGACAATACTTAACAAGTGTGCTGCTGAGTTCAATAGCTGGTTCGCTTTCTAGATGGGCTTAAAGCACAACTTGGACATAGCAGAGTAATTCAGTCCTGACAGACCTCCAGAGCTTTTGGATTCCTGGGACAAGAATTAACTGGGAAAATCAATTAAGGGATAGTTTAAACTGTTAATGCTGAACATCAAATCATTTGTCATCCTTAGTTTAATATTTGCCAGTGGCTTTGTTTGCATAGCAATTTCAGTCCATCTATTGGTGTGACATTAGAAGTCAGATTTATAGTATGAAAGAGATTAACTTACCTGTGTTGACTACTGCATCAAAGTATCCTGGAAAATCCTGACTTATTTTGATGTACATATCCACTCTGGAGACTGCCTCTTCAATCTCTGGCCTGCTGAATAATCCTTTCCTCCGCAGGTGTCCCTCATATTTTTCTTTGTTCATTGGTACTAACAGGATATATCTGGGTTTAAAGTAGGTATTTTTCAAGCTACGTACACCCTTTAAAATTAAGCAGAGAAACGCAATGTTTTGTTCCTGAAACTGAGTGCCTGTTGAACTTGTAGCTGAGTTTCGGACAACTCTGTATTTATCACAAATTATTGTGAAAGCAGTACTGGAAACCTGTATCCAATCTACAGGTCTCAAGATCGAGCATCCAATTTTACAAAATAGGCAAGTTCAAGGTGAACTGCCCTAAAGCTACATGTGGAAAGTGTTATAAGGATAGTATAACTTTATTCTAAACACACTTTTGAAAGAATCCTTTTAGTCAAATTCCACAGTGATTTAAAGCATCATACTTCTCATACCCACCAGTTAATGGCTTTTCCTTCTTTTCCATCCTTGCTATTACATCAGGGCCTAATTATTCTAAACGTGCACATCACGGACTCACACTATTTTACTGACACACAGCAGAACTTATCTGCATCACCACCTTGGCTTTCCACTATGAACAAACTGACAATTTTCTCCTCGGCTGGTCTATTTTTCTAAGTGAAAATGTGCAACTTCATCAAGATACAGGCATATTTATTTTGCTGGAGCAGCTTGCAGTGTTACCCCCTCCCAAAACCGGGTATAACCACAACTCCCCAGCAGCAATACGATGTGCACATTCTTCATCTGTTATACTGTAGTCAGACGTCTTAACTTGAGCCATTTTTATCAGCAATAAACTATCCTGAATAGGAATTTTAGTATAGCAGACTAGGAAACATTTGCCTTATATCAACTCTGCTGTAAGGACAACGGCTCCGGTTGGCACTAATTGACAGCTGAGGACTGCAAACACCTATAATCATTTCAACTAGATCTGAAAAAGGAGACCTGTCTGCATGCTAGGACTTAAAGACAAGGTCTTATTAAATGACGCAGGTAATGGTACCAATCCTGAATTTCCGATAGCTCTCCTTTGCACGAACTCATACCACAAAGAATCTTTTCTCTCTCCCTCTCACTCTATCTACACATAAAACAGAATATCATAATCATGTAGCCCTGCAACATGGTATTACCATTGCCATAAGATTTGTACTGAGTTTTCAAGGCTTGAGGACTGAGGCTTGTCCTGTTCGCTCTGAACTTTTCTTGACTTGGCTGTAACTTTGTTTTACTTGGTTCAGCTGTGACAGCAAATTCTCTTGTTGACCAGGTGTCTATACCTAATTCTTTTACTTTTGTTTATCTTTGTGTGGCACAATCATAGTTTTATATGGATAGCAGTAATAAGCAGTTGTTCCAGGTAGAATGAGATGTTTATGACTCAACATAATAACATAGTATAGATAAATACAGGGCTGGTATAATAGCAAAGACCTTGAGAAGTGGAAACACAGGACACAATGTAGAGGACTATAGGCACGGGATGATAAGAGATGGGGCACAGTCTTGACACCAGACACCTCACAACTATAAACATCTCAGTAATGGTCAGTTAAAAAATGAAGGCCTGGAGCTGGACAAAGCTGGTTTTAGGGGCACCAAGACAAATAGTATCTAGCATACATGAAGGGCACCATATATAATGAATACTTATATCAGAAATGGTGTGGTCAGCAGGAGCAGGGAGGTGATTGTCCCCCTGTACTCGGCACTGGTGAGGCCGCACCTGGAATACTGTGTCCAGTTTTGGGCCCCTCAATACAAGAAGGACATTGAGGTGCTGGAGAGTGTTCAGAGAAGGGCAACGAAGCTGGGGAAGGGTCTGGAGCACAGGGCTGAGGGGGGGCGGCTGATGGTGCTGGGGTTGTTCAGCCTGGAGAAGAGGAGGCTGAGGGGAGACCTGATCGCTCTCTACAACTACCTGAAAGGAGAGTGTAGTGAGGTGGGTGTCAGTCTCTTCTCCCAATTAACAAGCGATAGGACAAGAGAAAGAAATGGCCTCAAGTTGCGCCAGGAGAGGTTTAGATTGGATATTAGGAAAAATTTATTTACTGAAAGGGTAGTCAAGCATTGGAACAGGCTGCCTGGGGAAGTGGTTGAGTCCCCATCCCTGGAGGTATTTAAAAGACGTGTAGATGTGGCACTTAGGGACATGGTTTAGTGGTGGACTTGGCAGTGTTAGGTTAACGGTTGGAGTTGATGATCTTAAAGGTCTTTTCCAACCTAAATGATTCTATGATTTCATATGTAACTTGGAGCTGCAGACCAACGAAGAAAGAGAAAGGCGTAAACATGTGTTAGCAAACATACAAATGACCCCAAGAGGATCCTGGGAGGAGAAAGAAGAAACTATCAACATGAATATCCTCCCAGCAAAGGGCTTAGATGTTAACAACTTGCTGTAACATCCCTCCCAACAACAGCAGAGGGAAACCACTGACCTTAGAATCCAAAGGAGCAGCAAAAGGGTGAGCATAACAGCAGCAAAACAGATAGAAACCAAGAAGCATGTGTTACAATTTTAATTGTATTATTATTATTGGGAATTTTTCAGTATATAAGTACTCTAAATGCATTATCATTCTTCCTTTTTCTGTCATAATTAGACCTAGACTAATGATGATTCTTAAATTAGACAGTTAAAATTTCCATCGTACTAACAATAAATTCTTGGCTTTACTTTTATATATTTGATCATATAAATATATATATATATATACACACACATGACCATACATAAAAAAATGGTCATTTTGTGTGTTTAATGATCATTGTGAAGAAAACCAAAACAGGCCAACCACCATGGTAGTGTCTGGTGATGAACAAATTAACCAAAGTTAAGTAAGTCCACGCACATTATTGCACTGTAGTAAACATAAGGAAAGTGACCTTAAAATAAAGAATGGGAGAATACAGGAGTTGACAGTTAGAAAACAAAGATATTTGGAAAATAAAAAAAGGAGTAAAAGTCAAGTTTCCTGAAATTACATATGAGGTCAAGAAAAATCAAAGGACTACCTGAGTTGAAGATGTCCATTTATTTAACACAGCTAAAGCACCTCAATTTTTTCAGTTAACAGTATGGGGTTATAGAAAAGATGTGACCAGTATTATATCCTACTTCCTTTGACTCCCCAGCCTGAATGACTGGATAACCAGCAACAAGTGCAAGCGAGAGTGGTCTTTGGCAGGAGACAAGGTGTACTTATATTTCTGGAAGCATAATGAGACACATGAGCCACTCTGCTACTACTCTTGGCTGGAATGTGCAGCTCCTTCAATTGCTCTGCAGTTATTGGTGGCTACACAAGCAAAGGGAAAGCACTGCAAACATGCTTATTCCAACACATGACTGAGTGTCAGAATAGCTGCAGCTTCACTAACTGGAAATGTAGACTCAGCAAGATTTAACTTTTAAAATTTGTGTCAGTCTCCTTTATCAGTGAAAGATATACTCTAGATTAAAGGGAATGAACAGCTCTAAATTTTTAGTCTCAGCCCGCAGACCATAATTAAAATTTCTTTTAATAGTGCTAAATCACTTTTGTTATGAGCCTCGCAGAAGATAATGGACTTCGATAACTTCTATTCAGATACATAACTCAACATTATTGTTTCTCATCTGCTACCAGAGTCCACAGCGATACAAGACTATGCATAATTACTATGTGATCTTGAAACTTCAGTGACAAAGGAGTTTCTTAGCTGTCTGTCCATGCTTTGGTAATACCCAGTGAAAGTTATGGTCGCTGCCTATGTCGCTGTGTTAACCTCCTTATGAATAAATGTGACGTTCCATTAAGTTCTTTCTCCTAAATCATTCGATAACACATCTACTTTGTGAAGAATCGACAGTTTTAAAAGGCACCCCATTCCATCATATTTAATCTTCTCCTATTTTTCTTCCTTTGTAAATTTAGGGTCTGTCTGGCAAGACAACAAACACATTCAATGCCTATTGCAATCAGTGGAGACTGAGGGTGATTCACAGCTCTCACAAGACTGAGAAAGAAGAGGAAATTGAACTACACAGAGATTAAGTTATTAATTTGCTGTTTAATATCAGTCAAGTAACAGGCACTTAAGAGCAGGATTGCAGCATTAAATTGTAGACTATTTGAGCAAGGAGCTACTAATTTTTTGGCACTGACATGCTGTTTTTCTGTTATTTGTATGTTTATATGCAAGCAAGTAAATGTGTATAGATGTATTTGGGCCAAAGGGGACTAAAATTCCTTATGAACACTAAGGTTCTTAACTGAAAACTAGTTTTTCGATCATCAGTTTCACAAGCAAAATAATCATCCTAAAATTAATTAAATTTAGTATCAATTTTTGCTCAAGTCTCCCTAGTCATTCCCCTAACTCTGGATGCACAACTTAGGAGCCTATGTTAGCACTGCAGTCTCCCACTTTTTTTTTTTTTTTACCTCTATTATTTTTTTCTCCATCTATCATGGAGTGTAGTAGTGTCTGTTAACTTGTAGTAATCCCCCAGAGGTAGAGCTGAGCCCTACAAACACAGGGAAACCCAGCAACGCTCAGTATCACGTTCTGGGCATTCTGTAGAGTGTTTCTTTTTGGAAGCTCATACAGATGGAGCTTATTTTGTAGAAAGAATTTGGAAGAAAGTGTAGCATGCCTTTCCTTTTTGTCACCTCAACCCCTAGCTAGTAAATCATGATCTAAGATAATGAGAAGTACATAATTAGAAAATTAGCTAAAAAGTTATTCTTTTGGGATTCCAATAGATAGGTTTTGACACTTTGTTTGTGACCTAGTTTCTTAACGCAGCAAGACTTCTGAGATTCTGCCATCTGTGCATGTGCACCTGACAAATCTCAGAGATGGTAAAGTAATCACTCAAAGAGATTGCATCTTTTAATAGTTCTGCCCAAAATATTGCCTCAGGCCTGTATGCATCCTCCATTGCTTCATCAATTGGGGTGATCAGTAGGTGTGCAGCTCTAGACTAGTCCCACTATAAGCTGCAGATAGGTGGAAAGCACATGGTTGAAAAGCCGAGGATACTGTAATGGAAAGTATTGGTGATGTGGTGGAGAGATGAGGCTGCTGAAGATCAAAAACATAGGCCAGAAAATTTTAAGAAGCCAACAGAAGGATCCATCTGACTAAATTTGTGTGTCTACAAAGGGAGTGGTGCCGTTTATGTATAGACATTGGAGAGCTACTTGGTACAGGCCCAGGAGTTAAAAATGCAGTTCATCTGACCAAACAACTCTCTCTCCAGTGACTGTAATGCAGCCCACACAACTAGTTCAAATGTAGCAGCAGCAGCTGTAGGCTGGGCAGAAGGCCATAGGGTGTCTCTTGTGTCACTAAATGGCTATATCTAGGCAGCTGAAACAAACCTTAGTCAAACTGCACGAATTCCTCCCCAGGACAGTTCTCACAGAATGACTCATTCAAAAATGGTTACTCAATAAGTAATCCTTACCTCTATTTCTAAGTGAACACAGGTTGCAAGACCCTCTCTGGCAATGGATTCTACAGTGTCTCTTCCAAGTCCGTAGTAATGGCCACTGTATTTAAAGGTTGCTATAAACTCTCCCTGAAATTCAAAACAGCAAGTATAATGACAAAGGAAATATTTTAAGGGAAACGACTTTCTTAAAGGAGCATAATCACTCTGGACTTCCCTGCTTTTTCTCCCTACAAAGTTTCTCCCTGCCTAAATCATCAACGATAATGAGGCCAATGGGAGCACAAAATTTGCAGGGAAGAGCACATAGCCAGTCCTGCAGGGGACGGGCTTCTACATTGTTCATGTATAATAAAACACCAGTGTCTTGAAAACAAGCTGCTGACAGGTTACAGCTTTCATTGGTTATTCATTCACACTGTAAAAAAAGCAAGATCTAAAGCAAGGGGCATCCTTCTTTTGACATTACATCAAACCATATGGCCATGCCATATAAAATAGAAGATGTCAAAGAAAAGAGAGGACAGAAATAAATCTGCAAGGAGAATGTATAATTGGCCAAGAAATTTCAAAGTCAAAACCCAACAACTGAAACTTTGGTTCCCAGTAGTATGTCTAGAGAGATGTAAGCAGATTATATTATTTTAAAATTAAACTACTTGATTACTGAGAGTTATCATTAAGGACCAGATCAGTTGCTTAAGACTCTGTTGGCTTTCCCTGTTTGTGTATGGACAAATAATGAGCTCTGTTGTGGCTTTTCCAGCCTAAGTTTTATTGCAGGCAGCAAAAGGCATCAGAAACAGTAGCTGGAGGCACACTGCCTTCAGAGAAACACAATGTCTTTAGGGTGAATTTGCTAAACTTAAAAAGACTGCATTCCCTGCAGGGTTGCTGGAAGATTTCGGGGGCAGGGGGGAGAAAAAAAAAGAAAAAAAAGAAGATGGCAGCTATTTCAAGAGTTTTTCTTTCCCACACAGAGTAGATATTTGCTCATGGAGATAAGTTTATTTCTACATTATACTACTGTTTAAAGATTCCTACTGACCATTATGCCCATTTAATGGTTTCTATATATTCTATATATTGGTCTCTATACATTTGGTTTGTATATATATTTATATGGAAGAAAAGACAGCATGAATATACAATGAATTTGTGGCTTCTGGGTATGAATTTAAGCCACATAACTGTGAGTGAATAAGCATGCACAGACTGACACAAACTTAATATAAGGGAAAAGAAAAAAAAATCAGACCTGGACAGAAAAGTTGAGTTCACTCTGGGTGTAGGAAATAGGCCTACTAGGATACCAGTCAGGTACTTACCGTGTTCACCATTTTGTCAAATGCTTCTTGAGAAACGAAATAGTAATCAAGTCTGTTTTCTTCACCAAAGTAAGCTGCCCTGGTAGTGTGACAGGGACTGGAAGATATATGATATAATAAAGAAATAACCTGTTTTCAATCATAGAAGCAGCTATGGAATAGGGGGG